TGGTTTCGGCTCATGAGTTGGGCTCATGCACTGAGCATGGAGGCTGCTTAAGATCCTCTCTCTCCCTCTCCCTTTTCCCCCACTCCCCCCCCCAAAAAAAAACAAAACACAAGTTCAAGGATGAAAGTATCAAGAATTTCAAGATGTCAGGAGCAGAGCTTTCAATCAAGTGTAGCATCTTGTACTTCTGCATGTGTGACATATTTATGAAGCCAGCCCTTGGTGGTAATGGTCATCTAATTACCAAACAGCTGTCTAACTCAGGAATCAAATCTAAAGAAATTTAGATTTAAAGACGTACAATGTTAGAAAAACTGAGAGACTATTATACTGACCATTGAGGAAAGATTGTACTTAGGAACTTTTTTGTGCTGTACTCTAAGTCTTGGTTAAAAGTATTGAACTTCAAATACCTTTTTCTGATAGTTTGTTCTTGCTTATACTTTTCTGTTACAGCACTTATAACAATTTAAGTTACATGATTATTTCTGTGGTTTGTTTGTTCTCTACCTGACTGCATCTTCATAGTCACTATCTCAGTGCTTACGTTCAACGTCCTCTCATCATCTTGTTCAGTATTAATGTGCCTAGCACACACTAAATATCTAGGTTTGAAAAGATGCCTCCATAGTACTCTGTAAGTGGTCTGGTAGCAGTCTTTCAAGGACTGCACGTTTTATTTTTTTCTACATTTTTCTGTGCATTTGACCTACAACTTATGCAACCAAATTATGTAAGTTTTCTGGTTAACACCTACATTGTCAGAATTCAATCAATTTATGTAGAGGAGTTGCCAAAAATAGTTTCATAGAGTATAAATTCTGTATCTCAGAGGACTCTGCCTCTTTGCCTTCTCCCAAGAGATTTGTTTTGAGCAGATTTCCTACTAGGTTAGTTTCATTCCGCAAGTAAGTCTGCAAGTAAGAATTGAGTATAAATACAAAGTATAATAAGGTATGATTAAGAAGTATAATTGTTATAGAACTATGTGTAGGCCTATATCTCTTAAAAAATTTTGTCTTTCTGTTAATATCCTCATCACAAATATAGTCCCTTGTTCAGTATTTTTTTAATAGTCCTTTGTTTAGTATTTTTATAGCTATCTTAATAAAATGATGAACCTGCTACTTGTTAAATCATTTATGGGTTTTTGCATGTCAGTATTTAACCATTGATATTCCTGTTACTAATGTATACCTTCTTTGAATGTCCAGTTCTTAATTATTTTTAATAAAATTTTATATGGATGTAGTGTAAATGGTTTATAAAAAGCTGAAGATAGGGGCGCCTGGATGGCTTGTAGTTTAGGCGACTGACTCTTGATTTTGGCTCAGGTCATGATCTCAGGGTCCTGGTATAGAGCCCTGCATCTTGCTTTGCTCAGTGGGGTGTCTGCTTTGGGATTCTCTCTCCCTCTGCCCCTGACCCTGCTTGCTTGCTCTCTTTCTCTAAAATAAATAAATCTTAAAAAAAAAAAAAAAAAGCTAGAAGGTAGAAAAGATTTAACCAGGTCACTTTTAAGAGACAACCCAAGGACTATTAATAATTGTCCTGGGAAAATGAGCAGGAATTACGACTTTTCTGGAGATTCTAGACAAACCAGGAAATATGGTCATCCTATTTTAAAAAGGAAAAGAGGAGTACTTTGCCCCACCCTTCATTTCCGGTCTCTTTCCAAAGGCAGTTACCTTCAACTTTTAGCTGTTCCGGGATTTACCTTCACATTTCTTTTTTTTAAGATTTTATTTATTTTTTGACAGACACAGCAAGACGGACACACACACACAGACACAAGCAGGGGGAGTGGAAGAGGGAGAAGCAGGCTTCCCGCTGAGCAGGGAGCCTGATGTGGGGCTTGGTCCCAGGACCCTGGGATCATGACCTGAGCCGAAGGCAGATGCTTAACGACTGAGCCACCCAGGCGCCCCTGCCTTCACATTTCTGAAGAATGTTTATACTGTTTAGCGATTTTTCATATGTATTTTCCTTATTTACCCTTGTCTTCACTTCCCCAGTCACCTCCATCCTACAGCATGTTTGTAGCAAAACTGTTGATTCAATACCTTATGTTTACATTATTGTAACTAATTAATATTCACCCAAACACTCCTTTTTTTTTTTATTTGACAGATACACAGTGAGAACACAAACAGGGGGAGTGGGAGAGGGAGAAGCGAAGCAGGCTTCCCGCTGAGCAGGGAGCCCTATGCGGGGCTCGATCCCAGGACCCTGGGATCATGACCTGAGCGGAAGGCAGAGGCTTAAGGACTGAGCCACCCAGGCACCCCGAAACACCCCCTTTCTTGAACAATAACTGATAACGGAGAAAATTTAATTGCTGTTTGTTCTTTTGTACTTAGCAGTTTTTCTTCCCCAGTTGTATCATGGTCTGTGCCATATATGCCAAAATAGTTTCCATATGCCCCACCTTCTTCCCCCCTGAACTTTGCTTCCATTATCTGCAATCCTGCTCTGGTCTGGATCCTATGCTTTCTACATACCTTTGGAACTATTTCTTGGGTTCTTTGTCTAGACTTTTCTTTCTTAACAGTTTCCTGGGTTCCATGTCTGTTTCTTTCATTCTTTACACTCTCATTTTCATAGGACAATACTCTTCATTTATCTTCCTTTGATATTTATCTTGTTTTTTGATCTTTTTAAAAGATCTTGCATGTCTGAAAACGGGTCCTATTCTCCACCTCACATTTAATTGATTGGAATTCAAGGGTAAGCATTTTTCTCAGTACAACAGGCATTGCTTCATTGTCTTAAGAAGCCAGTACAGGATCTCTTCATTTTTGGTGTTCTAAAATTTCAATATGATAAATTGTGCTTAGTGTTGGTCTTTTTTTCTTTGATCCTTCTGGGTACTCTCAAGCCCTTTCAATGTGGAGATTTGTATCCTTCAGTTCTAGAAAGTTTCTTTTATTTCTTTGGTAGTTTTCTTTCTTCTCTCTTTATTAATCATGGCTAAAGTCAGATGATAATTCCCCTGGTTAGTTCTGTTTTAAAGTTGTAGTTTCTATTTCTGAGAGGTTTCCTCAATTTATTCCCAATAATTGTTGAATTATTCATTTCATTGTATCACAGTTTTTAAAAAGTGTAATCCCATTTTGAATGTCCACAAATTCTTTATTATACTCCAATTTCCTAAGCACCCTGTTATTTTATGAATGGATGTCTTTTGATCTCTTTGAGAGTAGTAGTTAGCTATTTTCCCCAAATTTCCTTTAAGTTCCTTTTTGGGGGGACGGTTATCCTGGTCTTTCATATCAGAGGGTTTCATTGGATACTTAGTAATCCTTAATGTTTATCTGTTTGAAGGAAACACTAAAAAAACTGATTAGAAAACTCTTGGTGACTAGTGGACTTTGCTGTGGGGTAGGATGTTCATGTGGCAAACTAGCTTGGTAATTGGGAGCAGTCCAAATGTCAGTATCAGAAATCTTACCTCTGGTGTTTTGTTTTGTGATCCAAGAGTAAAATCCCTTAATTTTATGGCAACATTGTAGAAATAGGACTGGGAAAAAGTCCTCAGGTCTCAGCATTGAGCATATAGATTTTATTTTTTACACTTACCTCTGCAGATTTGATTGTATACTTGGGTGGGATGAATTGCCTCTGAAATCCTTATTCTTGAGAGAATAAATACTTTTTTAAGAATGAAGCTAGGGGAAGAATTTGGGGTTTTACTGCTCCAACTACAGATTTTATTTTAAGTCCACGCATCTTCTCTTTTATGGTATCTTGTACCTTCAGGTCATGGTTATTTTTCTTTCTTTTTTTTTTTTTAAATATTTTATTTATTTGTTTGACAGAGACAGCTAGAGAGGGAATACAAGCAGGGGGAGTGAGAGAGGGAGAAGCAGGCTTCCCACTGAGCAGGGAGCCCGATGCGGAGCTCGATCCCAGGACCCTGGGATCATGACCTGAGCCGAAGGCAGACGCTTAACAACTGAGCCACCCAGGCACCCCGGTCATGGTTATTTTTCATGTGCTGAGGCTCCTAGTTTCTACCTCTTTCTAAGGGCCTAGGGTGTAGTTTTATCTTCTCTGCTTAATTATTGTGCCTTTACTCCTCTGGATTTTCCAAATACACATTGAAATCTCTTGCCTTCTGTGGCCCCTTTGGATTCATTTACTGTCGTTCTTTTTTTTTTTTTTTGATTTTATTTATTTATTTGACAGAGATACTCAGCGCGAGAGGGAACACAAGCAGGGTGAGTGGGAGAGGGAAAAGCAGGCTTCCCACGTAGCAGGGAGCCCGATGCAGGGTGAGCTGAAGGTAGACGCTTAGGACTGAGCCACCCAGGCGCCCCTCATTTGTCGTCTTATCAGGGTTTTGGAAAGAGGGGCAAAATAGATGCATAAGGATAATCTGTCATGTTTTAACTGGAAGTTCAAAAACTAACCTTTTTTGATAAGCTTTCATTTATTTAATCATATCTCAGTGTGACTTTTACTGTGGTTTGTCATTAGATATTTTTAGTGGAATAATTTTAATTGAGAATGAGTTTGTGTTACATCTTTTTCATGTTTGTTGTATCCTCTGCTGCAATATAGATCATATGTTTTGTTTTTTCCTCTCTTCATTCTCTTTTCTGTTATTGCTTGATACCATGTTTTTAAATATTATCAGCAAAGTAAATTCTTTTGTAGTAACTTTTAAGGTAGAAAGTGTTGATTGATCCGAAGTTGGCAAGTTAATGAGGTTACATACCAAAAATAGATTAGATATTTTTACCTTAAATGTTTAAATTTGAATTTTTTTTTATCTTTTCCTTTTCCTTTTTTGGGGGGCAGGGGTGGCGGGTGGGGTGGGAGGGGATAGAGGGAGAGGGGGGGAGAGAGAAAATCTCAAGTAGGCTCCATGCCCAGTGCAGGGCCTGAAGCAGGGCTCCATCTCAGAATCCTGAGATCATGACCTGAGCCGAAATCAAGTCAGATGCCTAAATGACTGAGCCACCCAGATGCCCCTAAATTTGAATGTTTTAATAAAGCAAATATATCTTACCCAAGTGGCATATCAGATAAGTGAAGTGCATCTGTTTGTAGTTGGTTTAATGTCAATCCACTACCAGAACAAGAAGGCAAGTTTTGACCTTGAAAGTGGGTGGGGAGAAGTTGAAGAGATTATTGTGATTTAAAGTTTTTTTGATTTATAAAAGTAATGTCTTTATAGCAGCACTATTTGTAACAGCCTAAAATTGGAAACAGTTCAGTGTCCATCTGCAATACAATGGACAAATTTATGTGTATTGATACAATGAAATACTATATAAACTGATTAGAGTGAACTAACTACAGCCGCATGCTACAATATAAATGAATCTCACAAATACAATGTTGAGCAAATAAAACCAGACATAAAAGAATACATATTATATCATTCCATTCATATACACACAGGTGTCCACCTCTGTTCAAAAGTAGAGCATTTCTGTGAATCCTTTTGTAAGCTGGAATGGTGAAAAGTGAAGAAGCAATTACCATTAGTTTATATGGGAAAGCTTTTGAGTGTTCCCAGACCCAAAAAATAACCTCTCAGACTTTTCTGTTATTGTACACCACATCTTGCTAATGGATACACAGTATACATCGAGATAAAGCACAGAAGCTTGTAGACAGAGTTTAAAGTTATGGTGGCTTGATGCTGAGATAAGTGTAGTTCCCGGGGAATGAGGTTGGTATTGTCACTTGCTACTCAGGGTACCCACTGCCTCTATAATGCTGCAAAACAAATGCTGAATGGTGTTTTTTCACTTTTCGTTGCCTTTTTATAAAACCAAAAAATTGTCTTTGGATTTCTTTTGGTTAACGAAAGCAGGTACTATATATAGGTCTTTCATAAAAGTGTGGCATAATGTGGACTTTTGAAAAGTGGGAGATATCTGTATAATTAAAAGATCAGACATAGCTATTGTGACTCTTGGTGTAGGTTCAGAGGAATGTTTAGTAAAGAAAAGTTAGAAATTATTCTCACTTTTGAGAAAGGGAGATAGGAAAACAAATTATAGCATAAGGTTGTGTGTCTTAAAAGTATATACAGAGTAGAAGCACACAAAGAAAAATGGTTGATTTCATACCATGACAAGGAATTGAATGGGGAATGTATAGAGTTTCCAGGTACGTACAAAGTCCTGTGAGGGTATATTGTGATAAGGGGGGTGCAAATAGTACAGTGTAGCTAATGCTCATGGTTTGAGTATTAAACACTAATAATAGATAAGAATAGCAAGACAGCCAAGAACAAATTTGTCTTGGATTCCATAGAGACAAAATTGAGTAAGGAAAAAAGCCCAGGCTTTGGAAACAACCTCAGTTCCTCATCCCTCTTTCATCAGTTTGCTTCATTCTATGGTCAGTAGGAAGCCTTTGATGGACTTTAGACTTCTGCCTTAGAGGAGAGGGGTGTTGATAGTCTCATAATTCACAATGTCGGATATAGTTAATTTGCATGGTTAATTCTTGATTTGAGCTGATGATTAAGGAGGATTAAGAATCAGAGATTTGCGTGTTTTCCCAAAGGCAATTAATCAACATTTGCATTTCACAGGAAACCTCCAGAATGGAGTCTAAACCTTCAAGGATTCCAAGAAGAATTTCTGTTCAACCCCCCAGCTCTTTAAGTGCTAGGATGATGTCTGGAAGCAGAGGAAATAGTTTAAATGATACCTATCACTCAAGAGAGTCTTCATTTAGACTGGATTCTGAATATCAGGTAACATCTTAATTTGGAATGTATGTACACAGTTTCTTTCAAAATCCTTGGGGCCACATGGTTTTTAGATTTTAGAAAAGTAGTGAGTGTCGTTAATAAGACACTCAGATGGATCTGAGGCATCCTGTAATAAAACACACTAATAATATCTGCGGGAAAATGAATGATTATTCACACCAAGTAGCAAAAACTCAGTGTTTTCAATCTTTGTGGAATTCAAAATTATGAGGAAGGCTTTGTGGTCTTATGTAAAATCATCATACTGTATTTCAAAGACTTGGAAACCTATTTACTTAAAAAACATAAGTATCAATTTAAGTATAAATTTGACTAAATTAGTCAATGTGGATGACTTGGTCAAAGGATCAAAAACTGCATCCTTTCTTAACATTATACCTATTCATCTGACTTTTCTCTGCATGTACACAGAGCAGTGGTAGAGTAGTGATTGTTAAGTTTTTCTTTAGTATAGCTTCTAAGTATTTTGCTTTTAGTGGTGGGTGATTATTAAAAGACTTGTGAAGATGTATTACTATCAGTCTTTGAGACAAATTTTGGGGCTTTATTTTCATGCTTAGTGTAACGAGTTTGCAGATTCATAATCTACATAAGCTACTCTTACATAGTTAATTTTCCTTTGGATTGATAGCACTTATGGTTTTGAAATGGCTTATTAGTGTTATAAACATAGTAGTTTTAGTAAAAAACAGTATAAATCTCAGAAGGCATGATTTCTAGGTTTAATGCAGTTCATATTCATCTTTCAAATTTCAGGTTATTGTATTATTGGCTGAACAGCTAATTAAATCATGTGCACAAGACTGATGTTAGGTAACTTGAATCTAAGAGAATCTTTTAGTGAAAATTTCCATTTAAGTATTTGTATAAATGTATATATCATGTGATATACTACATGAAAAAGTCTCATTTTAAAATATTTTTACACAGTAATAAGCATTTTATAAAATATTCAGAGAAAGACTAAAGTAAAAATCTTCTCTAAAATGCATATAATACATACTTCCTCACTTTTTTTTTTTAAGAGCTTATTTATTTGACAGAGAGAGAGAGCGAGAGCAGGAACACAAGCAGGGGAGTGGGAGAGGGAGAAGCAGGCTTCCCGCTGAGCAGGGAGCCCGATGTGGGGCTCAATCCCAGGACTGTGGGATCATGACCTGAGCCGAAGGCAGACGCTTAACAGCTGAGCCACCCACGCGCCCCAACTTCCTCACTTTCTATGAACTAATTTACTAAGTCTCATTTTAAATGGCTGGTTGATAATGTATTTTTTTATTCTGTTGCTAGACCAAAGGATACTTTACCAGAGGTACAGAATCACATATCTGCATCCTATAGAAAAGTTCTGGGTTAAATGATTATGACTTAATAAGAGCACAGATTGATTGGGGCGCCTGGGTGGCTCAGATGGTTAAGCGTCTGCCTTCGGCTCAGGTCTGAGTTTTTTCCCTGTATTGTCTTCATAAAAAATTTGTCTACAGATCTTTTTCTAATTTTTCATAAAGCTTATTAGTGAGGAACAGACTCTGAACCCAGACTCTATTGCCTGGATTGGAGTCCCGTTCCACTACTTACTAGCTGTGTGAACGTGGGCAAGTTTCTTTATTACATCTTCCTTTCTTATTTTCCGTATCAGTCAATCAGGTTGTTAGTGTTAGATGAATTATTACACTGAATGAGAATAGTCCCTGCCACATGATAAACACTATATAAATGTTAGCTGCCACATTTGTTTTTATTTTAATTGTTATAGTTAATTATATTAGCTGCTAAAAGTCTTGGCTGTGTTTAGAAAATTTATTGACATTCGCTTGAAAAGATAAGTATCTTCAGGACGATTCCAGCTTTTTCTTAACGTCCTAGATTACTTTAAAAGTCGTAGTTTTCATTGTGGGGGTTAAACAAATGCAAGCATAAAAAACCACTTATGTCTTTTATTGATTAAGATAAATCAGGGTTGGAGTTTTTCTTAATGTTTTTCAGTTGCTTCAAATGGCATCCAGTTTTTTTTAATGGATTATAGGAACATTTCCAATCTTAAACCAGTTACTCCTAGCCTGCTTTGCTCTTTAGTTTTGATTTAGAAACTGAGACTTCTGTGTTCTTGCAAAAATTATTTTATATCTGTGTTTTTTCCGTAAAATGGTGGTAACAGTAGCTCACGTGTTTGTTATTAAGATTAATTGAAAGAAATAATACATTAAAGCACTTAAAACTGTGCCTGGAACTTAGTAAGGGTTCAGATGTTTCTGTTTATGATGATGATGATTGTGATTGCTACTGTTATCATTATTTCCTGGCTTTATATTGGCTTAAATAGATACATTTAAGGTATAGTGTAATACGTTGTCAGAATATTTAAGTTACATACTATGTATTTAGTTTTATATAATATCCTTAATACTACTTATGTATTTAGTTTTATATAATATCCTTAATACTACTTAACAAAATGTATATTTAATGAGTGAGACCTTTAAATGTCAGAGGGAATATTTCAAAATCGCTGAACTGCTTTCAACATAACACTCCCCTTGTCTCAGACACTTAGTAAAGCTGAAGCTTCAGAAAGGAGGTCAGGACTAGGCATGATAGATCAATTTCAGTTATGTTAAGGATTAAATAATAGGGAAATACCGTCTATTTATATAGTGCTTAACAATTTGTAGAACATTTTTCGCTTTTAATTTTTTAATTTTTTTAAATGTAGCTTTTTTTTTTAAGATTTTTATTTACTTACTTGACAGAGATACACAGCGAGAGAGGGAACACAAGCGGGGGGAGTGGGAGAGGGAGAAGCAGGCTTCCCGCGGAGCAGGGAGCCTGATGGCGGGCTCCATCCCAGGACCCTGGGATCATGACCTGAGCCGAAGGCAGAGAGAGGCTTAAGGACTGAGCCACCCAGGCGCCCTTGCTTTTAATTTTAAATAGGATAATACTTGTGTCATTTTATAGGTAAGGATCTGAAATCTGAAAAGAGAAGTCGTTTCCCTCAGTCACATGACTAGTATATAGTGTACCTGAGTTTAAGAATCTAAGATTTACAGATAGCATTGTTTTTTTGGGAAAATATAGATTCTAAGTTCCGAACAGTTGATTTTCTGAAGATCTTTTGGTTCTCAGCCATTTGTTAGCTGGGCTGCCTCTGTTATTAATCTTGCTGATATTTCTGTTCCTTCATCTTGAAGTTTTTGTTACAATTTGAATGGTTGAAAACTATGATCATCTTATCTCTTTGTTAACAGTAAGTAGAATTTTAAATATTTTTTTAAAGAAAATTTAATTCCTTTAATTCATATTGTTAAAAGTAAAAATTTGGGGGCGCCTGGGTGGCTCAGTCATTAAGCCTCTGCCTTTGGCTCAGGTCATGATCCCAGGGTCCTGGGATCGAGTTCCACATCAGGCTCCCTGCTCGGTGGGAAGCCTGCTTCTCCCTCTCCCACTCTCCCTGCTTGTGTTCCCTCTCTCGCTGTCTCTCTCTCTGTTAAAAAATAAATTAAAAAATCTTTAAATAATAAAAAAAATAAAAGGTAAAATTTGGGAGCATTCTGTGAATATGTAACTGTTTATGTAAGTTCCATATATATTTCTATAACTCAATTTAAGAACTGCTAACCCCACTACACTTTTCCTTTTTTGCTTTGAGATTGATTACTTTTAATATGAAATAATGAGAGGCTTTTTATTTACGTGTTTTCTAGTTTGTAGATCAACTTACAGAGCTCAGTACCATTTGCATATTTTGCATACTATATTATCTCAAGAATTAAAAGAACCAGTGTCATTAACACATTTGTCTACTACAAGGTTAGCTTCCAAGGAACTAAATACATGCATGCATACATATAAATACAATTAGACAAGAAAATGAGAATAGTTTTAAAATGGAATCAAGAAAAACATAGATGAAGTACTGAGAGTGGGTCAAATTTGTGACACTGATAGGCATTTTTAAGCCCTGTACAGTGTTTTAGAGTTAAACTTGGACTCTTGGGCGTCAGGAAGGTCACAGGGAAATAGAACCAGATCTATAAGGTGTTTTGTTCATGAGGAAAAGAAACCCAATTCCTCAAAGAAAGCAGTCCTTGGCAGTTTGGTCTGAAAGGGTACAGTGAATGATAGAGTGGACATTGTCTTCAGCGTAGTATTAATATTAATAGTATATAGCTAGCTTACTCAACTTGTTTCTTGGTAAATCTCCGTGTAAGCAAAGGACATGATGCCAAAGTGTTCAGGTTAGTGAAAAACAGTTCTGTAAAGGGACAGTAGAGTGATCTGAATACCAATTTTCTGGTAGTCTTCATCTACGTATTAGGGAGTTTTGAGTGATAAATGGACTCCAGATCCTCCTCTCTTGTGTATGTATAAGGTTTCTTACCTGGATTTGGGCATGAATGAATTCATAAATCTTAAAATCAGCTAATGTCTTTTTTTTTTTTTTAATGAGAATTGAAAAGACTACTTATTTTGAATAGAAAGTAGAAAATAAGGCTTCACAGTAGTGTGGCAATGGATGCTCTAGCACATGAATATTTAGAAGAGGTCAGAGTTCCATGGTGTTGCATATGGTTAAGATAATTTTGGTCTGGAAAATTTTCGAAACAGGAATTAGCAGTCATCACAGTCATGGCATTGATTCATTGAAATGAGGAGCCAAAGAAGAGCATTTCATTCTGGATTTGCTTCTGTTACTGTGTATTAAATAATTTCCAAGTTATTAAGCATTGTCCAGTGGATAGCATTGGTTGTATTTGTAGTAATTGTTAAGGTTCTTTTTTTTTTTTTTTTTTTTTAAGAATAGCTTTATTGAGGGGTACCTGAGTGGCTCAGTGGTTAAGCATCTGCCTTAGGCTCAGGTCATGATCCCCAGGTCCTGGGATAGAGCCCCGCATCAGGCTCCCTGCTCAACGAGAATCCTGCTTCTCCCTCTCCCACTCCTCCTGCTTGTGTTCCTTCTCTTGCTGTCTCTCTGTCAAATAAAT